GAATGAGTTTGTGGACTCAGTACCCTTAGTTTGTTGTTGGAAAAAATGAATGAGGTACTTGCAATCTGAGGAGATGGATCATATTATTCTTCAACACTGTTATGTACATACTAACCAAGAGATGTGTTAGAAACACATTGGTTTCACCCACTATTTAACTTAATCCTATCTATTTATTGGTGCAATCTTAACAATATTCCATAGGGAGAATTCCATGTTAAGAAAGGTGCTGAGCCTGCTTAGTAGTTAGTTCAGTGTAGACTGCTGAATTTCGTTTCCTCTATGGAAGTGACATGCCTACTTGCTCTATTCCAAATATGTCCAGCGTTTTTTATTTGTTGGTACCAGGATCCACTTTCTTGGAAAATATAATCCATAAGAAGTTTCTCATATTAATCACTATGCAAAGTTAAAGAAGGGGATTCAAGTCCTAATGGATGAACTGCAAGTTCTGTCTATATGGTGGCGTTTTCTGTTCTTTTACAATTAGTTCCATTTGTTAGTTGGTTAAAATAGCCTGATAACTTTTTCATATATCTAATTGTATATTTTAAATTGCTGAACTTACGTTTCTGTATTTCTCTGTGTATATCTGTTGCTTAACAGGATGAGAAGTACTGGCCTCTCATGCCTCCCTTGCCTTCATATGGATATGGGCGAGAGCATATTGGACCACGCTATGGGAGTTTAATACATGGCCAAAATCTCAGAGATGTTGTAATCACAGGTTTGCGGCTTGTTTCTGAATGTTTGTAGCTATCACACTGACCCTGTAACTTCACCGGAAACAGCAAGTATTTTGCTATGCGAAGTTCCTACAGTTTCCAAGTTGTTGAACATAGTGATGTATTTCTATTTTAATATTAGTTATACTGTCATCATTATTATTGCTAGTGACTAAGTCCACTGCTGAGTATTGGAATGAAATGGGTTCCAGCAGTGAAATAAGTAAGATTTGATGATACATGTACTTTACTCACTGCTTTGCACTTACAGATTTTGAAGAGTGAAGTATTTTAAAATGTTTGCAGAAGTATGAAGCGAACCAAATTAATCTGATTATGTGCATGTTTTCTTGGTAACAGGGCATAATGGTACCATTAACGGGCAGGGTCAAACATGGTGGAAGAAGTACAAACAAAGGCTTCTTAACAACACCAGAGGGCCGCTTGTCCAGATTATGTGGTCTAGTGACATAGTGATCTCTAATATAACATTACGTGATTCTCCATTTTGGACGCTCCATCCATACGACTGCAAGAATGTAACAATCAAGAATGTCACAATTTTGGCACCCATCTTTCATGCTCCAAATACTGATGGCATAGATCCAGGTGAATAGAAAACCTTGAGCTAGTAACCACTTTTATAACTGAGGATTAGGTTCAGTCAGCGTTATATGTGGGGTCAGCTGTGAATAATTATATTTTAGACTAAATCTTATTGATTTCTTGCGGAACCTTCTGATTAGTTAATCAAATCAATAATAACCAAGCTAAAATATCTGAAGCTAATTTTGGTAACATAATTTTTCCATTGATATTATTCTAAAAGACTTTGATACACTATATGCACTTCTTTATTGTTTACTTATTCCCCTCTTTCTCAGTATCAACTCTTGATATTTTAGTATGGTGTGAACAGATTCATGTGAAGATATGTTGATCGAGAACTGTTACATCAGTGTTGGTGATGATGGCATTGCGATAAAGAGTGGTTGGGATCAGTACGGAATTTCCTATGGACGCCCTTCAACAAATATAGTCATCCGAAATCTTGTCGTTCGTTCAATGGTCAGGTAAGGTCTCCAAATAGGCTTGTGCATTTCCATTCCTTTTCATGGCGCGGATGTTTTTTACAACAGTTGCACCTATGATATTTTGACATATATTAATATTAGAATCATAAGAGCAACACAATAATTTACATTACATGATATTCACTCTGGTTGAACATCTTGGCAGTGCGGGCATATCGATAGGAAGTGAGATGTCTGGTGGGGTATCAAATGTCACTGTGGAAAACGTCCATGTCTGGAACTCAAGGCGTGCTGTTCGCATCAAAACAGCAGCTGGTAGAGGAGGATACGTACGACACATAGCATACAGGAATTTGACATTTGAAAATGTTAGGGTGGGAATTGTCATCAAAACAGATTACAATGAACATCCTGATGGGGAGTTTGATCCCAAAGCCGTACCAGTACTAGAGGACATAAGCTACGTATCAGTACACGGTGAGGGAGTTCGTGTGCCCGTGCGTATCCATGGAAATTCAGAAATTCCAGTGAAGAACGTGACTTTCACAGATATGTCGATTGGGATAACATACAAGAAGAAGCACATATTCCAGTGTGCATATGTTCAAGGTCGTGTTATAGGTACTGTCTTCCCCGCCCCTTGTGAGAACCTTGACCTATATGACGAGCAAGGACATCTGATACGACGTTCTGATTCTCAGAATGCATCGGACATAGATTACGACTTCTGAAACAGTTTCCGATATCCCCTGTTTCCAGGGACAATTTTCCCAGTGGCCAACCTTTGTTACTATTTCTTGCCTAGCCATTTTCTAGTTTTTCTTTTTCTATACCTGTAACTTTCCTCTTTCCCTCTCTTTGTACATAAAAAAGAATGATTCCTTATGTATCCAAATTTCCAACAGCCATTCAGTTGTATGTAATGTGGAAAACAGCTTGAAGTTTTTTGCACTGTTTCAAACTTTTTATGCCTTAGATTAGTTGCTTGGTATATAGGATGACAATGATTGTGTATTAGTTGCACGGCCCAACTGTTGCTCTTTTTTCTTTTTCTTTTTTTTCTTTTAATATTTTTGATCTTATCGCTAATAACACACTTGATCTTCTTTAGGAAAAGAAGAAAGAAAATATGCTTTTGTCTAATAACGTATAGAACCACGGTTATTTGTATTGTTATTTTTTTTTTCGTTATTTGTATTTTAATTTTTCTAAAGATTTGTATTATTGTACTATTCACTTTGTAATGTCGAAGTTTGACACTTTATTATACAAATATTATATAATACTTCAAGTATAATTAGAGTATTTCTACATAGGTTCCACACTTTTTTATTTTTAAAAAAGTTCTGTGCCACCCAACTTAAAATCGATTATAAAAAATAATTAAAAAGTCAGTTGAAAAATAAGTCGTAATGTATATTCTCATTGATTAAATTGAATAATATATAGTTTTACCCTTTTAGTATTTTCAATCGTGTTAGTGTATTACTTTTTGAATTATAATACCAATTAATTTTATTCCCAAATAGTTGATGATAAGGTATTTTTTTGGGATTCTTTGAAATAATAATCATAATTTTTTATTATTCAGAATTTTTTAACAAGAACATTTGTATTTTATTCTAGTTTAATGACATAAATTAATGCTCTAAATACTAATCAAATTGACTATAAATTGAAGTATTACAGTTTTTTTTTGTTTTCATTTGATATGATTGAGATATTATTAGGGGGGTAATATAACTTTCTTCACCATAATTATTTGTTGAGACTTTTTAAAAATAGTTAAGTTTATATTTTTGTATTTTAAAATTTATATAATGTTGAATTCTTTATTGAACACAGAGGAAGTATCCAACTAACTTTGATCATAATGGGAGAAGTATAATCCTGCATAATGATACTTATTATGCTATCTAATATATAATGATTTTTAAGAGAAAAAGTTTTTCCAATTTAATTGTCTTAATTTTTGGTTTAGATGATTCTCAAAATCATGTTTTAGAGAGGGATCCTTTTTATTCAATTTGAATAAATATCAAATTCTATAGGAAAAAGGGACTTGAAAATATATTTTATTCTTAAATATTCTTTCCTAATTTTATAAAGTATTCCAATTGGAATTTAAATTTAATGAGAATAATAATATAAGAACATCTGATCTACATAAATTACATAAATAATTCTACATAAATTACATAAATAATATAGCAATAGCACGGAAGATTTCACCACTTAATGGTTGAAACTTGAAAGGGGTGAATTTGTTTGGTCCAAACAATATATTGTTTTTTTTTTTAAATTAAATAAATTTTATTTATGCATAAAGAATTTAAAAACAGTTAGAATAATGTTAACACACTTGTTGAATCCAAGCCTTTTAATTTTAGCACACACGTGGCAGGTAAAGTACGAGCATCAGAGACCTGTTGCGCAACAATGATATATGATAAATGATATTGTGGAGCGGGTTGCACGCCGCAACAATTGTTGAGGCTATGTGTTTGTATTTGAGTATTGATTCTTTATTCTTTGTGAACCTACGCTGTTTTTAGTTGTTACTCTGGATTATTGTTATTATTGTAACTCCCCATAGCATGTTTCCCC